CCATACTTCTGGCTGTCATGAACTTCCAGCTGGACCAAAAGAGGACGCAATTTTCTCAGCAACGGAAGTTCCTTTCTTCGGAACTGAACTTCGCTTGTTCACGAACGACTATGAAATGCACGCGCTACGTTCGCATGGCTACAACGAAATAAACACTCCGGACCATTTCCTTTTTCAACCGATGAGGGGGTGCTTCTGCATGCTCAGGGAGGATATCGCAGTCTTTACTCCATAAATCTCAGTTTTGTCAATCGCCTCACTTGCGCACTCTTTTCTCCGAAGGCCCTCTGGTTTAATTCATCTCCATTTTTTGGTTAATTGTTTCGGCGAGACCGAAGTTCTGAATGTTTTCATTTGATTCTAGTTAGAAACTTGCAGCCGCGAACAGAGACAAAAACCACGGATAAGGAAGAGGCTTTGATCTGTACACCACATGCTGTCACTGTTTGGTTACACTCTGCGTCGTATCCAGATTTTGGTGTCAGGCGGGAAAATTCAAAAGCGAATGCCTCTTTAGGCTTATTCAACACGATATTGGGGGAAAAAATCGAAAGCCTTTTACTCATGGTCCCGACATCCTTGCTTTTATTTGCAAATATTGTTTTCTCCGGCTTTTGGTGCTAATATTTGATAAATAAATATATTGATTGTCTTCTTTCCTTCTGAACTATGAAGTATTTTTGTGTAAACTACAAAACAAAGAAATCCGTCAGGTGGCAAGTTTCCCCGTGCATGCCCCCTCTCCCCACCGCTGGGTACGCCAATGGTTACACTCACGTGTATATTGTTTCAGCTTATAGGAATCTCCAATGAAATATATGTGGTACTGTTTGTCACACTGCGTGCAGCGACTGTCCATATCCTCTGATTTTCTCAAAAATCCTTCCAAATCTGATGAGCTGTTTCAGAAAGCAAACTTACCTTCAGACGACTGAAAAATTGGACATGACCCGGTTGTTGCAAGATGTATAACACGACGAGACTGGGCGAACACTTCTGACGAAAAGATACCGTGCAAGATATGGGGCCGATGTGTACCCCCCCACACACACACACGCACACATCCAATCCCTATACACACTTTAGACTATTGTTACCTAACACATCCCTTCTAGAGGTCTGTAGAGAATTCCTGCGATTCCAATCAAACAATGACCAACACAAAGGCGGGGGGGGGGTTTCTCCGCCCCACACCTTGCATCATAATGATGGACTAAAGGATTACTTGATTTAGCTAAACCCTTCCAACAGCATTCAAAGAATCGTGCCTTTTGTCGAATTAATCACGCCCACTGATTAATCCTGCTCAAGGCGGAGGGGTACATTTATCAAACTTTTGGGGTGATTCCTCCCCCCCCCCTCAGGGAATGGGTGCTTGTTGGGGAAAACTTATTTACTTGGAGGAAACTGAGGAGAGACACAGATCTTGAAACACCTTTTGGAAAAAGAATTCTTTAGAAATACAAGGTTTCATCCAAATCTTAAGAATGATAAAGTAATTTTCTTGGAAGCGCCCGACACGTTTGCAATGCGTGATCGTTTGTGCTATGCATTTCCAGTGCTTCACGCGGAAAGAGTCGTCTGCTAGCACGGTCGTCAGCTACTTGAATAAAGTGCGCATGCGCACTGTGGAAACAAACTGTCGTAATCACCATTGCAATGGAGATAGGTCGTGAGCATAGGGGGGCCTTCGTGCTGCTGAAGCTGGAGATTCCCAAATATAATCAGGTAATCAGGTAGCTTGATTTCGATTTGACCTCTGACTTCTGCTGCATGTTTTCAAAGCGTGGGTGGTGAATGGCAGATTACTTCATATCCTTGGGCTCGGAAGTTGAACACAATGCACTGTATGCGCAACATTTTGGGCGCAACTTGAGAAGTCTTCAGTGGAAAGTTCACGGGCGGATCCAAGAATTTTGCTAGGGGAGGTTAGGCCGGAGATTTTTTAATGTCTCATTTTTTGCGACTAAAGTCTCCAATTTGTAACACTCACCTTGTACACAAAAGAAGAATATGCAGAATGTTATCTTGTTTGGAAATTTATGTTGGGGGTTTATTTCAAATATAGGAGAACCCCGAACCCTAAATTCCACCGGTTCGACAAAATTAAATTAAAAAAAAAAATAAAGATACAGATTTGGGTTGTGTGTACAGTTCAGACTAAACACAGTTTGAATCCGGCTAGATTCGCACTCTCATCTTAAAAATATCTCAAATACCATGAGCAAGTTTCGGAATGTTAAACTACTAAAAATAGCAAAAACACCAGAAAGGAGATAGTGGTTAACTCATACAGTATAAAAGAAAATAATGTTGGTGGTATGGTAGTTGCTCTCAAGCCACCGTAGCATGTTAAATAGCGTGACGCCCTCTGTAGGCAAAGTATCGTGCTATTCATCATTCCATTTTTAAATCAAACAACAGTTTACCCCAGCCGTACCTTTGTGGCTTCATCCACAGCACGGGAGCCTTTGTGAACGAGGAAACTTGCCAGATCGTCTTTTCTTGCACATTTCGGTGGAACCACGGCTGTACGTGATAAGGTAGATGCAAACATGACGGACCGTCGTCGTGTCTAGTTGTGACATGGCGGCCGCCTCTTTCCTCCCCGGAACAAACAACACGCCCCGATATGTCACCCCGCCAGTCCGTGAACATTTGATATAGATAGTGTGGAATACAAGATTTGCATTCACAGAGGTTCTAATCTCCGCGGTGCACCCGCAGTTAACGCACCCCTCCCCCCCAAAAAAAACAAACGAAAATAAAAGAACACAGTCACGCAAGCTTGAAACACACACTGTTAACACGGTTGACCGATAGGCCTGAGGATTTGAAATGATCTAAAATTTCTTTCTCGCTTCTGATATGATTGACCGATAGACTTTACCATCAATAAAAGACGTATTACATGACCAAAGACGAAGCCATCTGACTGTAACCAAGAATTCCCTCCTCTTGTTTAGGGGAGTGTTGCGAGCCCTTTGTGTGAACCTTTGGGGTGTGAATAGGTGCAGAAACCCCAGTCCAGTCCTAGCACGTGTTCTGGGAATTCGTGCATCATTAATTACAGTTTACACCTGCCAGACACAGAAAGAAAAAAAAGTGCAAAAAGGACAAGGTGGAAGCGAGCCTAGAATGAATCAACTTTCAGTCATACCAAAAAGATGTTTTAAATGGGGAGATTTTTTGGGCGGGAATAACTACTTACTTTCGTTATTTTGTGATATTTTCCCCATTTAGTTTTACATTTTTATTTGTCACAGCGCAGGGGGAAACCAACCGCTCCCCCGGATCCGCGCTCGGCGTTACCCACGCTTAATTAAAGCCCGCTCTTTGGTACTTTGCCTTGAAGCAATAGACCTTTTCGCCCGGACGCCATTTTTGATCATATTCCCTTATTCTCCTGTGGATCAATGCAACCTGTCGAATGAGGTAGTGCCAGACTATTTGGGGTTCCATTCCTCACTTTATTTTTTTTCAGATCACTTGTAACACTCGGATGTAACAGATTACAAATTTTAAATCATTCGAAATTGTAAATGAAATTAATCTGTCATGAACTTTTCTTACTTCATTTTTATTCTTGGATTTCCAAAATAAAAATTCTGGCTTTCAATTCAATGTGGCAGACTGTGATTAGGTGCGCGTCTTATACATTTCATTTTAGGCCAGGGGAACATAACTGTTAAGCGTGATTATATAGAAACGTTTCTAGGAAGACATGGTGATTTTATGGACCAATTGGGTAACGCTTATTGCGATTGCATTGTAAGCTTCCATTGAAAGTTTACGATGTATTTTTTCTTCTTAGGTTTTAGTGTATCTTTGCTTTTGTGATCGTTAAACTAGACGGAAGAACAACAAACAGATTATGTGAAGATAGCATTCCTGTTGATGTCACGATTGCGCCTTCCGCATGCGCAATCCAACTTGGCGGACTGATATCCACCCTGTAACAACTGTAAAAGGGCCGATCACCACAGCTAGGCGCCTGGCCTAACACTGAGCTACTGTAACCAAACCGTTTCGAAAATCGGTTGGTTCGATATTTGTGTATGTAGATGGCCTGTTTGTAGTACCGCAGTGGATGGGAAATGAGTTTGAATGTATTTGAACGTAAAGGCAATTTTTCCAGCGAGGCTCGATCAACGTTTTACGCAAAGTGTTTAAGTGTAAGCACATTTCCTAAAATCGGACGTTTTCATAGACACCTAACTGCTTTTATATTGAACAATAAAGTGTTTACATGTTTTTTATTATTTAATTTGAAATACAAATTTAGTGACACGCATTGTTTAACTTAATGCAGACATTCACCAGATGTTCATTTTCATATTTAACGCGCTAAGCAAAAGTTTAATTTGGTTCACGTGCTCAAACTGTAAATAAGTTGAGTGTTCAGTGGCTTTACCGCACGTGGTGGGCAGGACTATTTACATATTTTCTGAGAAATGTAAGAATTATAACATGCTACGTTCACAGAATTCGAGGGATAGGCACGCCCTTAATCTCCCTATATCCACGCGTTATTCCTATTGACACGCAGGTTGTATAATTGGTCCTTTCTAGAGGCCAAGCACAAGTCATAACGGCCTCTCAAGATGCGTCGGCGGGACTTGGAGCATTTTTTGAACGGAAAGTTTATAAAAACCCTCCCCAGTTCGACTGTCCAGCAATTTCTCTGATGCCACCGAATCCTGTCGGAACAGTCATGAGATCTTTTCGGTTTGTGTTTCTGCTGCCAGTGTTGGTGGCTGAGCTCAGCGTGTCTTCTCCGCTCCGTCGCCGCTCATCGATATGGAGCCCTGACTTTGAAACCCCTTACAATCTGAGCGAACTGCTCGCCCGAGATCAGCGGGCAGGACTCGGTCGGGGCAACCCGAGAACATCGTCGAGCTCGACGGGACCACGCGGTCGGCGACAGGCCAGCACGGGCCACCAGCTACCCTGCATACTGCTCAACAGCAGACACCAGCAAGTGCTGGCAGCGTCTTCGGTCAGTGATTCCATCATGGCCGTAAGTCCTACCTATTCTGCCGGTGAGTGTTTGTGATGTTGAAACAAGAAGTAAAAAAAAATGAAGAAGTATCGCTCTAAAATTATCCTCCAAAGGACGTTATCAATTAAGTTCGAGATTGAGCCGTATCGGTTGGCAAAGATTCTTCTACAAAAGATCGCAACACGGTTAGCTACTCATAAAACAAACACTGACAACTTCCATTTATCAAAAGAATGTAACATTTCACATCAGTTATAATCAGTCACATGACTTCCCTTTTTGACATTACCAGTAATTCTCTCCGTTTCGAATATACATACTCGGAGCATACATTAAATGGCCCTGGTGTTCCTAAAGCACTGAATTATGTGTTTTGCATTTTTGTTTTAAATAATCCTATAATTCCATTATACCCATTTCCAGCCTCTTATCCCAAAATTGCAAATATCTATATAGGCTTTTTCGTCGAGCTGGAAAAAATTCCCCCAAACGCTAAGGTCTAGCTTTAAATTTCAGGCTAAAGTAGCTATGCACGATTTCCATATAAGTTCGTTGAATGAAACCATGACATTTCCAAAATGTCGGCTAGATATCGCCGGGATTATGTGAAGATAGCATTCCTGTTGATGTCACGATTGCGCCTCCCGCATACGCAATCCAACTTGGCGGACTGATATCCACCCTGTAACAACTGTAAAAGGGCCGATCACCACAGCTAGGCGCCTGGCCCAATACTGAGCTGCTGCAGCCAAACCGTTTCGAAAATCGGATGGTTCGATATTTGTGTATGTAGATGGCCTGTTTGCAGTCGGCTAGATATCGCTGGGACTACAGTGATCGATATTTCGGCTAGTTACGTGAATCAGCGCTACCGCCACACGTCCATGCGCACCCCCATCTAAGCCCTAGTCCCCATCAGCCTTGTGTTTGAAAATAACAAAACCTGTTCAGTCTGTACAGAAGCGACATCTCATGCAGAGGTTGAAATAAGGGTCTAATTACATGTAGTTTTAAAAGTGGCTAGATTTGGAAAGTTAGGTGTGTGTCAAATTCAGCCTCATTGGAATTACCATCCTTTCTTCAAGCAATTTTAAAAGGACGTTGTCAATTTATAAAAACTGTTTTGGTTCTGAAGCAAATGAAAATGACTCAGCTACAGAATACGGTCATATAAAGAATACAGTCATATTAATAAACGTATCGCTGAAGCATTCAGCCAGCAAGTCACTTTACATGTATGTTCAATTAAAGGCAAAGACATATTTCGGGGGGGGGGTCATACCCCCTCCCAAAAGGGGAAAATCTTTTCATTTTATGAAAAAAAATGAGAGAAGGGCAGTTTGTGATCTGTTACTTTCAGGTCCCTTTCTATGGTATGTAAAAATCCTCCAAATATAGCCTCACCCCTCAGAATGGTTTAAAAAGTTACTTAAAGAAATTCTCAAATTTGTCCCCCGCCTCGAAAAAATTGTCACCTTCCAACCAGGTGACTCTGATTGCTCCCTTGAGTAAAGCAGACAAAAGAAATTGAATTTGATCAAAATCTGCATCGAAAAGTAAAGTACATACAGGGCTAATGTTCACAAAGCTGCATGGTAATCTCACTGTCAAATCTTTTCGGGGGGGGGGAACAAAAAAAGAGATGATTTAGAAAGCACAATCACCCTAAGATAAACTGCTCTCCAAGTCTCAAGCCCGTATGTGGGCCTGATTATAACGTGACAGTTATGAGTTCTGTTTGTTGCGATTTTAAAAAAATCACTTCTAGTTCGTCGGTAAAATTTAGAACAACCCTTCTCACAGGATATCAATTTTACAAAATTAAAAGTGCTCTATAGACTATATTTGAAATGATTAGAAGCATGTTTTCTTACTCGGACTCGTTATCCATGCATCGGCGTGTACAGCACTAAGCTCGATTTTTCACACCTCGCCCTTTCAAGGGAGTGAGCGGCTGTGATGTTATGGTTGTATGATGCGAGAGTCAGTAAGATTGTGCCTACAAAATCAATTTACACGGCCCGTAAAGTGTAAAAAACGGCAACATTCTTTTTGCGAAAGAGTACCAAAACCATCACCAAAAAACATCCCACCTCCTTGGAGAAAACAAAATCACTTAGCCTAATTCTGACAAAATTTTGGTTGAGACTCGGTGTACTTAGGCGTGATTTCTGTGAATAGACCAAAGTCTTTGTACAACAGGCACATTTTTATGTTGGGGGAAAAAAACTTTAAAACTTAAAAGGCCACAAGTAATCAGAACGAAAATACTGAAACTGTAGAAACGAAAATAAGGTGCACTTTGTGTTCCTCTAACGACGCTGAACACCCCCTCAAAGAAAAGCTGGCTGACCAGCGGACTTTGTCCAGATTTACTGCAGAGGATTTGGCTTAAGTCCCCAAGGGTATTAGTGGCAATAACTATCAATCGCTTTGTTTGCTACAACAGTTGCTGGTTTCAACGGTTCTGACAACATTCTTAGAATTGGGGCCTATTATAGAGGTCTCAAGGAAACAAACATCATTGTGCAACGTGTTCATAACGCACGGCATGTCGAATGTGGCATCTATAGAGGTCACAATGTTGACATGCCTTGAGATGCAATTTTTTGACCACTGGACTGAAACTGAGTCCAAACGGGTATTAATCAACGGTGTGTTTAAGTCCGAGCTTGGAGGGGGCAAAATGGAATACTTGTTCCAAAAACCATTGTCCATTTTGTTTTTCACTCGTGAAAGAATCCCATGCAGCCCAAAGAAAGGAGGTAATACCGTTTCCAAAAAAGATGGCACTTTCAATTTAAAAAAAATGTTCTCGTAGATGTCCAACTAACTGCTGAATCCCAACTCAGCCTCTGTCTCTCGTGTGTTCATTTATTACATGGGCGTTCAATTTCACTATGGGACTTGCGGTTAGTTGAGCGCAATTATGCTGCATGCAAAAATTGTGCCGTTGAAGTTACGCCGTGCGATACATATGTGTCTTAATCGGAGGGTTGAACATTTTACTTTAATGTTTTGTCATATCTACTGCTATTGTGTATTTGCTCTCAGTTTCGGATTCATACAAATTCTATCGGGAAAACTGATTTGCTTCTTTCCAGAAGTTGTTAGTAAAACACAGAATGTGTCCCTTTTCCAACCGTTCAGGTGACTTGTCAAGTGATGTAGATATTATCAGTACAGGCCGACCCAACCTCGTCCGCATCAAGTTTGGTAACAGTCGTTATCTAGCAACCGATGAACATGGGCGAATTGTAAGCGATACGGTGAGTAATACATTCCTCATACAGCAGAATCCAATCACTCGCCCCAAAGAAAAACACCCAGTCCCCTCACTCCACCCAAAAATGTGAATGTCCCTAATCTAGAGCATGTTTGGGAGCCGAATTGCACATGCTCAATTCAGTGCCAAAGGAACAGTCGATCTACCGTTGGTTGCAACTCTTGGTGTATTCATGGCCTATGCTAATAGTGCCCACTGCACCTAGTTACAAAACGACCATTTGACCAGAAATGCAGTCCCATGGCTTAGGCGTCCAAAAAAAGTCGACCGGACATTTTGTTGAACCATCGATAACCGTCGCTTGAACTCGCCCAATGAAAAAGATTCAAACCCCAATTCAAGACCGTGCAACAAACTCAATCTTTATTGTTTAGGAAAAGACGTTAAAAATTGTTTTATTGTGTTCGCTTTAATTCATCTCACAGATAGCTACAAATTCCACAGCCGATCGCACGGTATGGTACCAAACATCAGACAGGTTTGGCGGGGAGGAATACCAGGTTTGCCAGGCAGATCAACAAAGATGCGACGGAGGAGAGTTCCTGGCTGTTCGACGGACGAACGGCGTCTACAACGTCTGTACGGTTCAGTCGTGCCCACGTAATTGCACCGTATTCTTATGGACGTGTACATAGCCAGAATGATTAAAATTGCATTAATACGCATCGCTATTTCATGTTGCCCTGTAAGTTTGTGAGACTGAAATAATTGAATTGGCGGATACTAGATACAGAGAGAATTCTTTTGAAATTTCGGTGCCAGAGAAACATACGATGGATTTCACGAAAAGATTATCACATCTAACTGATGTGTCAAAGGATTGTACTGGGTTGATTCTGCCGAAGTCTTCACCGTAGAGCGAAGGCAGGCCACGGTGGAAAGCCTCGTGTCAAGGGTCACCCAAGCTCAGCAGTGGTGACTCACAATATTCAACATGATCAAAATGTAGGTTTAAAGATTGCTCTTGTATTTTTGTGTAGATGATTAGCAGGTAAAGTAAATGTAATTTTCCTTTGCATACATACAGATAGCATATTTTATTAATTTTGTTATTTATTGACGTTCACAAAAGTCCATAAACATCTCTGTGTTGAAGCTCTGCATTTTAAATCGAGTAACAAGTATGATACGACCAAAAGATTACGAGTTCGAGAAATTTGTAACCAGTACAAGAATTCATTGTTAATGGTATATCGATCTTCCCATTATCTGCAGGGACCAACAATGTAAAATAATCACTCTTATTTCCAGGTTTCCGTTGGGTGGGGGAGGGGAACTGGAGACATTTTGCTGAAAAGTTCCAACGTTCTAACGTTCCAATTCATTGGAACATGTCCCTTGGGGTTCAATTTCCCCTGACCCCCTCCCTGCTGGACAGGTCATATCCTGTAGTATATAGCGCCCTCTCTTGGTCCAGCTAATGTTCCATATGTCTTGGGACGTTTAGTTAGCCTATAGGATGTGAGGGAGAGGCCCATTAGTGTTTTGCTGCATCAACAACATCGGTGTGAAGATGTTCTGAGTGATTTCTTGGCCTTTTTTGGCAATGATAATAATAGCAATTCAGATTTATACTGCACACGTATCCACCCTGCTGGGTGCTCAACGCGTAGCATCATCATTATCCCTGCACATTGGGCTCACAACCGGGAAAAGTACAAATTCGAAAACGTCTTCTTGAACAGCCATCATCGTGTTTGACAACTTCTGGGGTGCGTTACATGCTGAAGGGTTGGAGTAATGAACACACTACTGAGTTGTTATACCGTGTTATTGCTAATCAGACTTTTATTTATTAAAATATGATCTTAGAAAATAAATAGGGCATTTTCTACTATACAGTTTTTATGGTTTAATTGCATTATAAAATGCTTGTAAGATTCGTTACAGAAAGCTTCTTTGATACAAAATCTTATCAAATTAGAAATTTCGCTGAATTTTTGCAATTGAACAGAAAAACTGCGCTCAACCTCTTTTTCAGGACATTAAACGAAGTGATGATTTTCAACTGTGAATGTTGTATCTTTTCATAGTGTCGGTTTTGCATCATTTGTGATGTTTGGTGTATTGCCCATGCTTTGAGGGCGCTATATGCTACTTTGATTTTGCTTAGAGAGAACAAAGAGGTGGGACAATAATTCCTTTGTAAGAAAAAAGATCAGGCTGTCACAAAATCCTGAACATTTTTGGGACTTTCCAAAGAAGTGTTTTATGAGAAAAAGGGGGTTTGATTTTGAAAAGTGTAGGAAATGGAGGGACACTTTTCAACACTTGCTTGTTCAGGGAAAAAAAATTATTTTTTTTGTAAACGTCTAGTGAAATTGTGAGTTGACATCTGTAAATTCTTTACTTTCATGCACTTGGCCAAAAATATACAAAACGTAAATAAAGAAGAACAAAAACACTCCTAGTGTGTATAGATTAAGTGCATATTCTTTTTCTTGAAATCATGCAAATCTCTGCGAAATTCATTGGCTGAAAAGCAAGCGAAATATTACGGACATAATTTAGATCTCAGTCTCTTTGAAGATTTGTTTTGAAATAAACTTCATATCTTTTTTGGTTGAAAAAATGCATATATGAGCAAAATTGCACATTGCAACCCACACTGCGTTGACGTGCAAGCAGGAGGTCAAACTACCACGGTTGTTCAAGTTACCAAAAGCTTGCCCAAGAAAACCCGTTCCGTAAGACAGGGATAATAGGGGCGATTCGCAATAGTGCGCCACCATGAGTTTGCAACGCGTTGGCCAATCACAGCGCGCGAAATTTGTCGACCCTTTCCGAACGCGCATTGGGTCGACAAATTCCGCGCATTGTGATTGGTCAACGCGTTGCAGTCTCTTGGTGGCGCACTATTGTGAAACGCCCTTATTATTCGAACTGGCTTAGACACCGTACTAACTTTCAAAACCACTTTTCAGGTGTTTTATTTTCCCGTTTAAGCGTCGACAGAACTCTTAAAGCGGCCTGACACCGTTTTAACAGCAAAGTAGCACTGAATCAAGCTAAGCAAGTGCTGTAAGCAAACTCAAAACCGTTTCTGAACGTAACCGTCCCCTCCGATCTATAAGGGAGTAGACCTATTAAGCATTCGGAAACGAGGTTATGTTGAACCGAATAAAGCCTGCATAATAGGTAATAATTTCAATAAAAATGTCAGAGAACAAGGTAGCCTGTGTGGGAAAAGCAGAAAGAAACGGAGGGGGAAATCAGTGGAGACCACCCCTACCCCAAGAGAAAGAAAAGATTGTGTTTCGGTCTGCAGGTGCACAACATTTCTATACTGCGCGGGCAACTCACTGCGCGTATGAGGCCGACTCGTGTGCTTTTTCCGGTCGTAAGTTGACCGTTTTGTTACCGACTTCTGGATGTAATTTACTTTCTTCTTGTACACAACCTAGCTGTTTTCTTTGTTCTTCCCCGTTCTTCCAAAACTTTGAAGAGCAGATGGGGAGGGCGCAACAGGGGCCATGTACCCCCAATTATTTTGGAAAAAAATGAAATGTAAATCGTGTGGTCTATTTCATTCTCCCTCCCCTTCAAGGGGGGGGGGGCTCCGAGTATTTTGGCCGCCCCAAAAAACAGTTTGGCCCCCGACAACTTGGTACTGAATCCGTCTTTAACACCTCGTGTCTATCATCGTCAAAGGTTTCCTGAGATGGCATTTCCCACAGTCAACAGTACGGTCCATAGCGGCATATAGGCCTAGATCTGTTCCTCCTGCTTTCAAATGTCCGGTCGCGCGCAATCAATGTATACATTGGTGTCGCGGTGATGATGATGAGACATTTTATTCAATGCTGTCATTATTACATCTTGTTCACGACGAATGCCGTTGCAAGTCACGTGATTAACTCAGCAAAAACCATAAATCTTGCATCTGGAGAACGGGTATGGTAGAAATGGTTGGGAATAAATGTTTACGGTGCCAGTGGTGTGACCGTGGGGTTGGGTGGGGTGGGGACACCCCTCCCCTATATCATGAAATATACACCACTTGTGTACAGGCTACACTTCTTTGACTTATGGCGATATCTAGATTTCCTGATGTCTTGATATTTTAATGTTAAAATGAAGGCCACCGGAAAAGACCTCTCTCCCATCCCACGCATCCCGTGAGATTTTCTCAGAAGATTATGCACTCCCAGTGCACTCACGAATGCCCTTGGGAACGAATGAACCAACGCACACAAGTGTGTATTTGCCTGCCTTTTGTTTGTACTTTAACTTTTTTAGAAGACCGCCCATTTGTTTTGTACACAGTTGTCAATCGGGGACCCTCTGTCAATCGGGGACCTTATTGTCCTCTATTGTTCAGGGTCCCCAATTGAATGCAGAAACAAACTCATTATATCACTCGTCATTCCCGGGCCGAATCGGACAGCCAAGGGGCCAATCTACTTTGTGTAGTAACAGGTCGAAGAAGGGATAAATTTACCTTATGTACACGAAATGTAATCAAATGTAATCAAAAGTGCATAGTTGTGCTTCGCTCATATGCATTCTACTCAACTTGACCCTTGACCCATCACTGAGCCCCTATCTGATCGCAATATGGGTCATTGAGGGCATGTGTACAATTTATTAGTAAATAAACGAGAAATAATAATATTTCAACTACAGCATTAAACATGACTTTGTCAGAAAATGTTTGACAGTAATAATACCGATGTTTTGTTAAAATTATTCCCTTCCCTTTGCAGGCCTGTTTTAGAATATGCAGCACCAGTTTGGCTCCCTCATCATAAAAACCAGATTCAGTGCCTCAAGAGCAATCAGCGCCGGTTCACAAAGTCATGCTTCCCCTTCAACGTTACTATTCCACTTTCCTACGAACAATGCTTGCAGAAAACTTTGTCTACCTCCTGCCTACAATAGGTTGGCTTATTTGAGCGTAACCTTTGTAGTGAAATGTCTTTCCAGAAACGCTGATGTTCCATTAACTCTCCTCCCACAGCCCATCACAAGGAAAAGTGATGTCTTCCTCTTCATTCACCGATACAGCCGAACTAACTTTGTGAAAATCTCCTTACATACTCTCTTCCCCAGGCTTTTAACGCGCTTCTTCATACTGACTTTGATTACAGAGCAGTGGACAACAGATGACGACCCATCCCCAGATGTAGTTCAGTACATGATAGATATCAAGCATAAGCTGAACAAGTTGATGGCTAAAGCTACAGAAAATGTAAAACAAAGTCAGAGTAAAATGTATATCCGAAATCTCTGCCTTAATTCCTCTCCCAAAGAATTTTCTGCTCTTTACGCGACCACCTGTTCAACCTTGAACCTATCTCCTACGCATTCTAAATCTTCCATTATACCGGTATTCTCAACAGTTCCCAAACTACAGGTAGAGTACATGTTCACTCCATTATCCTTAATCTGAACTCTATGCTTTAATAATAACATTGATATTTCTATTTACAGTAAATCGGACCACTAATTAGGCACACATATATATAAGTAATTTTCTTGAATAGGATTTTTTTATATCAATGTATTTATAGTTCAGTGTTTTATGTACGTTTTTAAGCCAATCAGTCTGGAGATCCCCTCAACTGGAATCTTTTTCTTTTGGGCAATCCATCGGGGACCGGTTGGGTTTGTCCTTAGTTCCATCATGTACATTTATGTGTTACTGTACTGTCTTTTGTTTACCTGTCTTTCCCAGGAAATGAAATAAATAAAATAAATAAATAAACTGCTCAAATATTGATCGGAATGTCTGCTTGTTGCATGAACTTCCAGTTTTGGTCTCTGGGCCAAAATTATCAAGAAGGGGAAAAATACTGTGGCTCCCAACAAATATTTGCGAGTTTTAAACAGATACATCGCATTAACCAAATCTACGATGATGAATACTGTCACATTATTGGTCGCATGATCAACCCAGCTACGAACAAAAGACTTGTATCTGACTACAGGTGTGAATGGAAGGAATTAACTGTTAGACTATAATGGAGGGGGCAGCCCCAAAATACACAACCTGACCACAAGCTGCCGATTATCGACTTACGATGTCTCAATTTTGAAGACCTGATTTCGAGATGTTGGGGGCGGGCATCAGCAAAGACCTTAGAAGCAACCGGTGAGATTTCTCAGAAGACGGGGCACTCCCTGTGCACTCAAGAATGCCCTTGAGAACAGCTGAGCTGACATATTATGCCATTTATTATTCAGAGTGACAGCCACAGGGGGCAATTATTTTGTGTCTGTAACTGGTACAGTTCTGTCAACGTCGCTGGATGACATTTTCAGTGGATAAGTTCAAAACATCTGGTACTAAGTTTTACGCAATTTCTCTTCCTGTAAACCTGTCCCCACCACATGAACAGTCTAAGGAAAAAATGGGGTTATGCGAAGTTCAAAAAGTTACGTTTGTTTGGTTTGACTAATTGTTTGTTTGTTGCAGTGTTTGTGTGCTGTTTTGAAAACGGCAGGGTTTGCAAAATTGTTCGCTGATACTCTTTTGTCTCAAGGAACTTTCACCACAATGTAAAAGGCTTTGAACTTGCATTTGAAGCTCAATAGCTGGACATATAAGCAACAGACATACTTGAAAAGTCAAAACATGTCGCATAAGAAGCCATTTGCGAGTAATCTCCGAATAAAATCTGGTATACCGAGTTCTCCAAATTCACATGAATTCAAGTTTAATTCTCCAAATTAAAGACTCAGTCGCCATGCCTGGTGATTCGGGGAAAGCTTTTGCTTGGGCCGATTTCCAATACTCAACTTCGGCTCCGTGTCAGGCTTCAACTGTTTTTTAACTAGAGCAGTAATTAGTTTAATAGTGCCACAAAACATCAAATAAGATGCAAGAGAGCCAGAAATTACAGTAATCCAATTTAATTTAAACGCTTCAGGCCCACAATCGGGGATTGGTTTTGGGGACGAAGCCCAAGTCGAGCATTGGAAAAGGGCCCATGTTACATACAGACGCCTTACATCAATACATGTACACTGTTTTCAATGGATTAGAACTGCACAAAGGAACCAGTCTATTCCAGAGATGGTAGTCGCTATGCAAAGCTTGCCCCGAATCACGAGGTGTAGCAACAGTGTCTTTAGTCTGGGGAATTCAAATTATGTTCATATGAACTAAGACAGCACAGTGTACCAGATTTTATTCAAATTTAACACGCAACTGGCTTATTCAAGAGGGGGAGAAAATTGGTAATTGAGACAAAAGGAAGCAGACAGAGACAAGACCCTTTTTTTTTACTCAGACCATTTTTTTTACTACCTCCATGCTCAGACTTACATTCCAGCCCGCATTAAATAACGTGGCACTGATTACGGTATTTATGTGGTGCCAACAAAAGTGCACAGTAATACTCTGCTCGAGTCAAACTGCTCGACCTGACCTAGCCCCACCTGTATGGCACGGACTCTCACTCCCGATCCATCCTTAAGGATAGATCGGGAGTGATCCGTGCCACACTAGTGGGGCTGGACCTGACCCATCATGGACTCCCCATCTGATCACAGGATCGGCCAGTGAGGGCGTGTGTAGAATTTATGAGTACATAAACATAGAGCAATGAATAATACATCATCAAACATGACTTTGATCAAATGTCAATTTGAGTCTAATTGTTGCGTGAATCTCCAAAACGGTGTAAGAACAAAATTCTCAAAAAAAAGTGAGTTTTAGTGTATACACTGTACAGGCCTATCACATTATAAAAAACAAATCTACAAGTCACATGATAAACACTGTCACCTGATTAGCTACAAGTCACATGATTAACTTCACAAAAGATAACACTTGAATCTAGAGAACAGGTGGAACTGTTAACTTTGAATCAGTGGTGTAACTTTGGGGAGGGGGACATGCCCCCAGCAGAGGTCGCTCCCCCTCCCCTTGAAATACACACAACCGGTGTACAGTGTGCAAGTAATACAGTTTGACAACCCCCTGCAAAAATCTGTCCATCCCCAGTTGCCCCAAAGGGGGTTCATCCCAGTTACTCCACTGAGTACTGAAAAAAAAAAACTGTCAGTGGTGCATCCAGCTTTCGGCGTCGCGGGGGAAAGGGAGCAATTCAAAAGCGAATGCGGCTTTTGGCTCATTAAATATGATGTTGAAGGAGGAAAGCAATTTCAAAAGCCTTAATCGCAGTCCCAACATCCTTGCTTTTATTTCACGGCGTTGCTTTCTTAGGATGTTGGTGCTAATATTTGATAAATAAATATACCGATTACTTTCTAACCTATGAAGTATTCTTTGTAAAAAACAAACAAACCCATCGGGGGGGGGGGGAAGTTGCACTTCTCTAATGGCATAAGTTACTCCGGTCGAGAAGAGTTGCTCTTTTAATTCTACGAAGGGGAACAGATACACATTACAGTGTCAAACACACGAAGCGGACATCCAACAATTTTTGAAGTGCTTTGACTGTACGGAATGACTTCTTCAGGCACGCAACTCAAGAACTGCAGGCCTTTTTCTGATTAATTGCACAAGACTTTTCAACAAGTTTTCCTGATGGTGTGACATGTGGCTTCTTATGTCTTCTCCAAGAAAGGTGAGGGGAGACTGAGGAAGGTTGAACTCGCCAAGAGTTCAGAGTTTTCTAGAAAAGCATAAGGATGTCCTAGTTAAACGACGCAAGTCTTAATTCAACACCCCTGCTGTTTGACGGAACAGTGAAAAACTGGGTAGATCGGTGGCTTTCATAACACACCAGGCTTTAAATGGAACAGACCAACAGGTGAACTCAGTTAAATTCTGACTCTGTGATGGTGTTTCAGGAAGCTATCCTTTAGATAAACATGGTCATGAAGTAGTGTTTAGAAATTACTTCAAAAGAACGACAAAACTTCTGACAACCTCCAGTTGGCAAATAATATTCAAAATGAATCCTCAACGTGACAAAATGCTAGACAAAGAGCCTTCAGCTGCACTCTTTGGCCCTAGGAGTTTACTTTTTGGAACAGCTGGGAAAATAATGTTTGCACACAAGCTGCAGAGTCCACTCTTTGTTCCCTCTTCTGTTTTTCTGAGAACTATTTGCCGCTATGGCCTTCACCTCAGGTGCAGGAAAATGCTTTGCAGGGGGTCAGATTGGAGGAAGGAGAAAAATATCCACAAAATAACTACCAGTAGGTTTGATCATGGCCCCACAGCAGCGTGGGGTCTACGTTTGATAATAAAGGCATTCCATAAAGTACCATCTTCCTGCGATCCATTTCAACTATTATGAGTAAAAATTCAAGGTAAACTCAGGATTTTCTATGTTTTGAAACAGATTCAGAAATCCTGAAATCGGGAAAATAACGGCGGAAAAAAATCCTGTTATCGGGAAAACTCCGGACAAATCTCACCCCTGGGCTTTTAGATTTAATCCATATAGATAGAAAAATGAGTTATGCCCGACAGCATGTCGGCATTTCTTGCAAATCTCTCACAAATTCTCACAACACTGAAAAGCAAAAATGTGGGGGGGGGTTCAGGTCAAATCTGGGGCAATAAAAACTTGCCAAAACACCGCTGTTCTATTTACAATCCTATCGGTCATCCTGAAGAGTAGAAAGCTAGTACAAACTCCCTCTACAATGTAGAAGTACCCACTTTTTTTAACGAATTCTGTACAGAAATTGCAACATTATTTTTTTTTTTTCAATTCCAGATTAAGAATATCAATTTGCAGAGGACAAGATTGGCCGTGTAATGGTACCCTGTCTATCTGGTCTTCACCACGTGGGCGCTGTGTTGGCTAAACGACGCATTCTCCTGAAAAAGCAAACACAAAAACCACCTTTTTTTTCAAGAACAGCTCAAAAACTTGAGGTTTGTTTAGAATTTTAAAAAAGACAGGAAAAGGTGAGACCATGCAGATATGAAGCGTTCAAACTGGAGAGCATTTTTAATTTTTAACATTGTTCCAACGAAATAAAAAAGGTAAAATGATTAAGACAGAGAATTTCAAAAAAGTAATCTAATCTTAAAACTTCAATTAACCCGAAGCAAATTACAATTACGTCCTGATCACAATACAAAAATACTTGATAAAACAAAATGGGTATAAATTTCCTAAAATGTCAAAATATTTTTGGCCGATTCTCCCACTGAGGTCTGGCACCCAGGCTACAAGGAAAGAAACCAGCATGAATATAATAAATCTGGTGAGGGCGCTGTTGCTCTTACCTGGTGTTTCGGTCTTGATCTCGGATCTTCTTCTCCATCTCGGCGTCAGTCAGCGTCTCGAGGAAAGGACACCACTGGTCCGCTTCGCCTTGGTTACGCACCGCAATCTCCACGGTGGGTAACGGTGATTCACTGGAAAGGAAGGATTATGTTGAACGAATAAATCGGCAACCAAAGTAGCTCAACCCTAACCATTCCAGATCTTTCCATATTCAACAGGAGGGTTATGAGGGAAGGGTTGAGGTAGGTAGAGCCTGAGGGTATTTACTTTACACAAGACTTGCTCCTTAAGAAAGTATACAGAGTGTACCGTTGTTTTTTCTCTGCAGGACAGAGGGCTTTGGAAGAATCAGGCAGGATACAGTCAAGTGTCAGGAAGCTTTTTCTTTACAGCATGTAAATTCCACTTAGCAGAGTCTAACCTAGGCACTGGTCACAATAGAACCTCCTCAACGAATCCCCAAGGTCAAGAGAAGAGAAGGGTGGGATAAAAATGGGGAGGGGCTTAGGTAGGAAGGGGGTGTACTACAAAAAAGCCTACGTCTGTTGAAGGTACCAGAGCTGTCCCTTGACATTGTAAACCACTGCAGTAACAAGCCCCACTCTGTGAAGGACCAGGGTAGGGTCAGGTACAGCGGGGTGGGCAGGGCAGGGGAGGGGCTTAGGCAGGAGGCGTATTACCTGAAAGCATATGTACGCTGGTGCCAGCTGAGCTGTCCTCTGATGCTGTAGGCTATCGCCGTCACAAACTCCCCTCCTAGGCCCAAGTCGGCACACAGCTTGAGGGCATACTCCTCAGGACTGTTGTCTTTGCAAGCCATGTCCCACTCGAACTGATCCACCAAGGAGATGTTGCCCACGTGAATGTTGAGCTGTTGGGGGAAACAGACCAGAGAAAACTGATCAGAGGTTGGCAAGTACTGTACCTGGTATTATCTGCTAAGCGCACAATCAAGTTGCTTAGCAAAAAAACAGACTACCAGCCAAAAAGCCCAGGTATTTGCACGTACACTGCACGTGCCTGGTGCTCTGCCAATTTTAGCCGAGTGCTTAACCTTGCTACTTAAGCAAGACTTTCTCAACTCTGTGAAACTTGGTTATGGTCATGTCATGTAGGAGCTTTTGGGAGCCCAAAATGTGTCCTCTCTCTGACCTTCAGAATGACTCGCTGATCAGATTGGTCCTCGAGAATACTGGTGTCGGCAGGGAAAGCTTCGATCTGGGTACGGATGGCCTGAGAGATGGACTGCACAAAGTTGACCGGTGGCAAGTCTAGGTCCTCACACAGGATCTCAGCAAACATCTCCGGGGTGATGAGGGTTTCTTAAACGGAGACGGGCAGATGGCAACATTAATTGTGCAAGTAAATTATGACAGATGGTGTCGTTAGAAAGGGCTGCCACCGTCTCAAAACGACAGTTACCGTACGAAAAACTCCACACAGTTCGCATAACATTGGAAATCGTTTCAGCAGAACCGGTTTCCCTCCAACAATGCCAATGTTCCTGACTTCCGAGCTGGTGTCCACTCGTGTACATACATGTTTTTAGGGATCACCCGGTGTTCTGTCATACAAAGCATACCTCCCTCAGGGTGGATCCAGAACCAAATTTGAAGGGGGGCAAACTGGGACGGGGGAGGCCTAAAGGTTTAGAAAGTGTAGTCATGTTACCTTTTATGGCCTTTCTGCGTGGGGTGAGGTGACATTTTGGGACTTTTTACATGCTTTTGTATAGAAAGGAATGAAATAGACCCAAAACCACTGCCTTTCTCTCATTATTTCTGAAATTTTTTTTTACTCTGTTGGGGCAACTATGGCTACCACTGCCCCCCTCAAGATCCATCCTCCATCTTGCTTATAAAAACCTTGAACTGCTCTGTAAAGCAGGAACCCCAACTCTAACCCCCATGGTATGGAAAGACATATTGAAATTGGAGGATTGAGGACTGTTGGGGTTAATATTCAAGTAACCCCATTTAAGTACTACCTTACTACAATATATTGAACTCTGAGGTTATAAAAAATGTGGCATCGCACAGGCATGATGAGATTGGAGAGCAGATTTTATTTCATTTTGATTTTTATCTTGGACATA